CAAACGAGTCAAACCAAAGCTAATCATTTCATGTCATTAGCAGCAATGCTTATGCCCCACCAACTCGGCTATCAATGCATCACGTAATTCATTAAGCGACCATTATGGTCTCAGGGCATAATGAATACAGATAATTTTCCGTCGTTCAATTCATATCTCAACCAGATGAATTCCGTTCATTGACTATTCGCAGCATTTACCTTCGCCCAATTGCCGTTCATCAAGTTCACATTTCGACAAAAAGCTTTTTGGGTTAATCGATAGTTCGGTGGCTTCATTCGTATAATTGTCATGGACCTAGCGTCGGCTATCACCTAACAAGAAGTTCTAAAAATTAACATTTCGACAGTTTACACGCCGTCAAAAAGACACGCAAATAAGTTTTTATACCGCTTGCTATGTCGTTTGCCTATTTCAATTGGCGGCAAAAAACAATCGAATCTTTCACATTGAGTAAAATAACATTCCTAAGTTCTTACGAGGAATATTCTGTAGATAGATAAAACAGCAGTAATAGCGTTACTCCTCGGAGTAACACCAGGGGCACAAATTTATATATTATTAACGCACCTATGTCTCCATTCTCCTGTTTTTTCCGAGGAATAAGGCTAGTACCCTGTCCTATCTAAAACGACGTTCGATGAAACGACATCCTACAATTTTTCCCAGAACCGCAAATGATGGACACTGAAGCCTTCAGGTTCGCCCTACGGTGTTGGGGCTGAAAGCCGCTCCCAATGTTTTTTTTTCCGGAATTCCATGTTAACAGTTTGGAGCACGAAGCTGAAATTAACAACGCCCAAATTCCCCCACTTTATCCACATTTTGTTATAATATATTGGTGTTGACCCAGACAGCTCATAATATCTGACGCGTCTTTATAGATCATGTTGGTATTTTGTTGTAAAGCGACGGAAAGCGCCTATTTCTCGTAGGAAATGCACTGCAAAGGAATTTCCCGACCTCTAATCTCGCAGATGCCAATCTAAAGTGCATTTTTATTGTGCTGGCGGCTTTTGTAAATTCAGGTGATACAAGTTCAGGCAGCTAATACTTAGTCAAACTTTGAACTTCCTGACTTTATGTTCGTCGTTTGAAAGTCATAAAATTTAAACCATAATGTCACACATCTTACTGCTTGAGAATCTGTTTCTCTCCTTTTTCAAACACCGTTTTCCTCGTCGACGCGCGAGTTGTTAGGCCCTTTATAAAGACGGATGCTGCATGCAACGATGCAACGATCGCCCTAATCTCTTTGACCTAGCATGCCGCATCGCAGGTCACATGTGTTGATGTCCAGCGACAACTATCTGACATACTCTTTCAACACTCATTTCAGGTCGGCTTCCGCACTGTCGCAGTATGCTTGACTTTTCGGTAACACGAGGGATCTATGAGGTACTAATACGACCCCTTTGACTGGATTTGACTAATCGATATAATAATGTCACCATCATTTCATCATACGTTCCTGATGCAGCTTGGCCAAAGATTTCCAACACATTTTTCCGCCTGGTTCAGGCTTGCTGGTTTTCGAGATCTCTTACTCCCCTCCTCGAAGCGTGACAATGAAAAAAAACTTCCGGAGGGAGAGGGCTAATGCGTCTGTGGTAGCCAGTGCTACTAGTGCAGATGCAGCTACCACTTTTGTCGTTACAAGCAGAGTTTATGGTTTTGGAAAAAAACATGACGTGCACTGTGAGAAGCTCGACTAGACACAGACGATCATTTTGACGTCATAGCATTCCAAGGAAACTCACGGAAATGACGCGGCGCTCCGCTACGCCTTCTTGGTCCTATGCACAGGGTTCCCTTGAGTGGTAGTTCTGAAAATATCTGCTTACCTAGTCTTAAAGCTAGAATCAAATCAGCCCACGACACCCTTATGCCATGATTTCCAACTGACTGGAGCGTGGCGATGTCACGTCAGGGCGTTTTGGAAATCGTGTAATGTTCCCAGACCGCTTACGTCGCACCATATTATCACAATATGGCTGGATGGAGATAGTGAGTGCAAAGCTAAGGTCAAGGTTATGTATGGTCATGGAACGACCCCAAACGTGTTCAGATTATTTCACGGAAATAAATGGTGGCAGACTTTTAATTAAAGAGGTCATGACCTGTCCACGTCTGGAGCGTCAAATGGAAGCGAAAGAAACTGTGATTTACCCGTGTATAACTTAGCATGAGGGGTCACTCGTCAGATGTCACCTGGCCATGACCTGAATGAAAGAAATGGATATCACGCTGGTTTATGGCTCCATTGTTTTCATTCGTGGCTTAACACACTGGCTGAGAATAAGTCGTCGAAAAATCTGCAATTTGGCTTTGAAACTACTGTGCATTGTGTAAAGGATTTAACTACATTGGTGTAACTCCGCTAGGAATTGCATAACTTTGCGAAAGATTGTGACGTTAAGAGTTCTGCGTGTTATTTGATTTGCAATTTTGTAATGGCAAATGTTTCCAAAGCAGTACCCGCTAGCCCACTAGCGTAGCTACGCGATAAACCTCAAATTGCATCGCCCGTTTGCACTTGCTGCAATGCGAGCCCGTCTATCGCTATGCGGCTTTCCACGTGCGAAGGAAACGTTACAATATAAGCTGTGCAAGTCATGAGATGTAAACGCACAAATAAGCCAAGTGCCTTCCACAAACACCCAAATAAATCTAACGCTGAACCTTCGAAAAAAGTACGCCGTCAGGAACGATGTCCTTTCTGGATTGAGCTATTGAGCTATATTGAGCTATATATTGAGCTGGGCCTGCCAAATGTTGTTTAAATTTTTTTTCTTCTAGTACGAGCGGACAATTCTGATGATTAAAAGGAGCTTTTAAACACAACAAACCTCGATAACTGCAATATGGCGACTATTGCACTTGCCTTCGGTTGCAGTATAATGGGTAAGCATATTAACAAAAATGAAAGTAGTCTATCGCGTGCTGGCATTCCAAGGAGTCTACGATAAAAACTTTTCCAAAAAATGTAGCATAAAAACGAGTAAAAATGATACCATATGGATTTCAAGAACATGCCGAAGCTTGCGATACCTATAGTTGGCATAAAACCATTGCAGGATAGCACCGATCCGTTTGTATACATTCACAGACGACCTCCACAAAACATTACATGCATGATGCATGAATCTGAGGGCAACAGCAGCAGATTGTTGCCCTCAGATGCAGGTACTTTATCCGGAAGACGTGGCCGAGACCAACACTGTTGCCCGAGGTGAAGATCAGGACAACATTGTTCTATCAGAGGGCCACAGCGACGTCATCAGGATCAACGATCTGGCGATATGAAGTGAATACTTGGCGAAGTGAAGCCATCAACGCTCTGCTTGGCACCTCAGATATAAGCCTGGTAAAATTGTTTTTCAGCTATGTTGGGTCTTTCGTCACCGAGTGTGGGTTCTCTTGCTTGCAAGTAGTGCAAAAATGTTGTCACTGCACCTTCCATAATCTGTTTCGTGCGTTTGACTGGCGTCCGTTTACAATAATATCAAGTTCATAGCCTTTAAACATAATCGGGCCCATCACAGTATTAAAGGACATTCTGTCATTCTTTACCACGATAAATGAAAGGGAACAAAGCCGGTTACAGCACAACTTGCAACCATTTCATATCCTAAAATTTGCCTAGAACGGTAGCCGGCATCCGCGTTTGAAAAAAAAAACAAAGCACACAAATGGTCACGTGATACGCAGCATTACCTTTTTATAAGACAATTTCTTGTGTAAGACTTTGGTGGATCTAATATTATTGCTCGCTGCAAAATGTCAAGCCTAAATTCCTTTACGATCCAAGTGAAACGAAAAAACGAGATTTTGCATTTTCCCGGCAGTGCTTGCCTTTCAGTCTCGACGTCTGGGCATTCGCAACAGCCCATTTCCCTGAAGTGAGCCTCAGAACTGAAGAAGGAATCTGAACAAGGTCATGCGCCAATGGCAAGAGGCTATGACAACAGCCTTTCGCGGTTAGTGTAGGGTAGATATTTCCTACAGCTATTTCGATCAATTAGCCTAGTGACGGAAAGAAATGCCCAATTTCCTGTTCGCGTAGTGGCAAGTGGTCCTGTTTATGTTATTAGGCATAGCCGTTCACGACATATGCGTTCAGACCTATCTCGCAACTTACGCCGGAACTGTTTTTTTAGGGAAGATTCGGTAGTTCTCGCGATGTCACGTATGTGCATTGTAGGACCTGAGACGACTCAGAAGAGCCGAGTACACTTGGCTTTCACTGTCAGGCGACCGTCTTCTCTAGGTTGCGATTCTGCGTGTGGGATGAAGCACTCAAGCTCAATTTTAACTCTCATAACACTTACCAGACCAGATGTCATTACAACAAAAAGTGCTACTAGCGCTCCAGAGGCACTCTACTGCTAAAAATGGAAGATTTAAACCAAAAACAGTAGCTCCGCTCATGAAAGTAAGGTACACATTGGTAACGTTTTTAGTACGCGGGGGTCTCTCGCACGCTAGTCAACACTATGTTAGGAACAAATGTGATTAACTGTATGCCAGTGGTCATACTTTAGGTGGCTAGCGGCTGTGAGCTCGTTGCTTCTTTTGGCTTGTTTCAGACGTCCAACATTTCATAATTGGCATGCAGTTGATCACGTTGGCTCTTATTAAAATGACGAACACTTCTAATGCGTTCAAAAGCGGAACATCCTAGCCTTTCGTACTTTTCACTTATTTTTACAAGGTGCTCACGGCGATTGTCGTGAATATGGTGGTCGCGACTGTCAGAAGCCAGTGTAGTGCTGTTACAACACGTCGGTGGAGTAACTTGGACCCTAAAATAATTAAAATTATTATCCTTTTGTATTGATATTGCCGCAGCAGCACTACACAGTGCTCGTATTAGGCGTAACTAGTCCTGATGTTTCACTAAACTTCATTTTTGAAACATGCCCCAAAGGCGGGACACTGCCTTGAACCGCGGCGGCACTTCGGTTTTGATCACGACTCGGCGGGCGTCTTCGACTTACCCGGCAAGACGAAGCTCTCTTGGTAGGAGATGCCGTTGCCGGTATCGCCGGCTCCATAGCCGGGCTTCCGGCTGGAAGACAGCAGGGGACCCTTCTCACCGACTCCCATCTTGCCAAGTTGCCCACGCACGGTTCTGGCACGAGGAGTCGCTTGCACGCGACCTACGACTGCGGGATCGCCTACAGAAGGTCCTGGTCAGAGAGGCCCAGCAACCCCAGGCTGAGATCTGCTGTCCAGCTTTCTGTGCCGTCACAAACTTCCCCACGCCGTCCCCGCCTGCTCTTCACGGACGTGCGCCTCTCCACAGCGCCCGTGCCTAGTTACTCAGCCCCTCGCCTTAGCGCAGGACCGATCCGCTGACTCAGCCGCTGGCGTTCCCCCAACGCTGCGCCGGTCGGCCTCAGAGCAGCAGGTGTTCCCCTTCTGGAGGCGACACCCGACGACGCAAGACTGGCGGCCGCGCGGCGCCCGCCGAGCCTCGAGGCGCGAGAAGTACGTGGCGTCCGGCAGGCGGCCGCCAAGCGGCCGAGGCCAATCCGATGCCGCCCAGGTACGTGCGCAGCTATCATAACGCTGCGCAGCCGGCGTAGCGTTCGTAAGGTCGCGGCCCCGGCAGCGGACGGTCGGCGTGAGTCGTACGCGCGCCAAGCGTGGCGCGGGCCGCGAGATATCGGGTAAAAAGCCGTGCTTGGCCCATGGCTAACCCGGCAATGCTTGCAGAGTGGTGAAGGCGGCTGAACTGGGAGGGGGAGCCGGCGCAGCTACGGCTGTTGACGTTGCACGGAACCAGATCACGTTTGGTGCGTCTGAGCAAGCAGTGCTAGGGTGTATTATCTTATTCGTTTTGATTTGGATAGTTGGATTCCAATTGTGGTACGTTATTCAGTGTCAGTGGTGTAAACTGCAGCTGCAACTAGGCAACTGTCGCATGAGCCTTTGTGAGAGCAACATGTGTACCAGTGAGAAGCTGATGGCATTGAAATAATGAACGGATAATATAATCTTGGTTAATAATGGGACGTGTTGGAAATAATTTTTTATTTATATTTGCAGTGAAAACTGAGGATGTGCGGCTGACACCATAAAATGTTGTAAATATCACAGTCCAGGTGTCAAGAGTCAAAACATCACAAGATCACATTATTTGCAACACACAACGTGCATAAATGTGCCGCCACTTAAAGTTGTTTCTCTAAGATCAAGAGATTTGTGATTGTCATTCCATTGGGCAAACCTCCACCATCCTATGAATTTCACAGATTGCTGTCACGAGTCTCTGGTATGATACCGTGATTTACATCGATTTAAAACGGTTTTTGCTTTAAATTAAAGCTTTACATTACCATTAAAAAGTATCTTGGCTTCAAATTTCAGGTATGACTGAATTGGAGCGTTACTATTGTCCGGCATAAAAACTAGGGTTGACATAAGCAGCGTATGTTGTTTTCTGACCACCATTACTAGATGCTGGCCCCTCAGCCCATGCACCTTTTACTTTATCCAGACATTGGCCGCAACTGGCACAAAATAATTATCGATTAAGTTGTTTGCATGATGCAGAGATGAAGAGGGACGATAGTGCTTTGCTGATGTGCACATTGGTACAAGTAACATACTTTGTCCTCAATTTCGTTTTTTTCCGTAGCCTTTCAGGTGAAGATCTCTGAATGCACAACTCATAAAAGGATGCAGCATAAGTAATGCTAGAGGTTGGAATCATCAACAATAAACACGTGATCATTGTATTTCAAGAAAAACAGATGAGAACATCAGTCATGATGCAGAAAAACATCAGATGGATTGTTGCTCGAGTTGCATCACATCGAGATTTGTGCGCAATCATCTCAGCATATTTCACATAACGTGCAAATTTTCAGGAAACATGAGACTACAGCACTGGTAATTGTAGATGATGCACATTGTTGTGACGTCCTGCACATGACAGACCTGCGTGAACATCGCTACAAAAATATTTCGGAAATGAAGTCAGGAAAAAATATCCAAAACCTAGGGTAACAGGTAAACAGCCTAGCATCACCAGCAATAGTAAGTGCCCCTTAATCACCGGTAACAAAGCTAGATTGCCTCAATTGTCTTGGCGCGAAGGTATTCAACTTAGCATTCTTGTATGCTTTGTCTTGCCTGAAAACCCTGGAAAGAATTTGGAGAGAAATGAATGCAATTCCATTGAATTCAAAGCCATCATGGGGCTTTCAAGTTTTTCCCACCCGCTCACCCAAAAATGAACTTTATTGGCATTACCATCAGCTCGCTGCCATGCCCCAAACATTACACAATGTGGTCAGGATCTGTACCAATAACGAGCAAACGAGCAAAATACGAGCAAAATAAAGACATTTAGATGTATTGCCATCTAGAACAGACAGGTAAAACAAGATTTTTAATGCATTTCTCAATATCTAGTGTTTTGACTGACATAAGCGGAAAATTGATGTAAATGCGTGATATATTTAGTCAGTACACTTAACTTCACATACACTCCATCTCTGCTTGGTAATACTGCTGCCACATGTTCAGAATAAAAATGCGTTCAGTTCTTAAAGGGGCAACAATTTTAAAACAAACCGCATAAACAGCAACCATAAAAAGCCCCTCTGTTATCAATACGCAGTCAGCTGGCAGACCCAAAACAAACTGGTAGTCGGTTAAACTTATTATTTTAGAGTATTCCAAGTATGAACATTAGATGGCTATGATCATGCCCAGAGAGGTATACTAAGGCACAAGAATGATTGAAAAGTATCTAGTGCATAGGCTGGCAAAAAGTTGTGTGGTTTGAAGAAAAGATTCATTCCATCCCGAGAATCATCCGTACTGTGTACCGTTCCCGTTCCCGTATGTTTCAGATTTGTAACACCCTTTCGGAGTGCAAATGCATGCATGGAATATAGGCATAAAATATGTTGATACACATCAGATGTCACTTGACGTAAGCCGGAAATGTCCTGGGCACGTGCATTTTTATGATAACAATTTGTTTATAAAACTCTACTGCTTTTGTGATTGGGTCTTTACCAGTGGAATGCTTATGTCCTAAATAAACAAGTAAACAAAGATCAAATTATTTGAACGGTATCATACATTTAGTGTAAAAGAAGGGGGTAAGTCCCACACCTAATTAGGCTACCTTATTATTATTTCTACAAGTAATGGTAATTATGTACACCAATCACGGGCCAAAGTATAACCGAATAGGCCTGCACTGAGGCCTGTAATGAGTTCCTTGCCTATGACCAGCATTGTCTATCTGCCTTAAAAGTAACTTGCAAATGAGGTCAAAATTTATTCGGGGTTATACCTAGACAAAGCAAAAGCATGCTTGGTGAAGCAATCTTTTAAAACGGCCAGATATCCGAAAAAGCCTTGAGAAATGTGTACACATTGCCTAAAAATTAAAAACTCCCGTAAATAGATAGAACTACATTCAACGCAATGTTCCAATCTCCTAAGCCATACGCAACCTAGGGAGAGGCGCCTTCAGCCACGATACAATTATTCAACAAACAATTACTCCTTTGATAATCATTTACGGATTTTTTTTCACTCGAGTTCAGATAGTCCTAATTTATCCGCCAATTTCCTGTCCTAATTTGTCTAATAGTTCCTCCACGGGTCGCTATGAAAAGTAAACGGGCATAGGAAGGCATGACGAACAAAATATTCCTCATTTTGACCAAGCTGTGAAAACTATCCGAGATTTGCCTTCGGTGCATAAAATTGTCTGCGATAATTCTCCGTGTTTACAGCGCCAAATGCTGATCCGCAAAAAATATACGTCCCGGATAATTCTCCAGGATTAGCTGCCGGTGGAGCGCAGCGCGTGCTCCAAACTCGAAGTTAACAAATGCGTTCCGGATGGAGTAACTGTTCGGACCACCACCCTCGTCTGGTGTGTTGGATTACACAAACTATCACACTAGAAGAGGATAACAGCTGGAGTAAATATTCCATCGGAGATATCAATGCTCTCTCAACTTTTCATTGAAACTGTAAAGAAATACTTGTTTGCACAATTACCATGGATGGGATGTTCAACATTTGTTTTCAGTGTTGACGAGCCCATTTATCCGAACACCATCGCTGACGCTAACGGTACGTTCGCGATATGAGTGGTGAATTAGTGGTGAAAAACGTTTTGGGGTCATCCGATAAATTTGTTCCGCCAGCAACATTTGGAGCACTTGAAATATCTGATCAATGGAAGCGACCTTGCAGAAGCAAAGGATACACATTTATGTAGATCGAAATACCCCACAACCTTATGCGCATAATGAAAACCCTCAATTTGGCCAGACACATTCCCTTTCATAACTCCTAAAATAGATTTTTTGTAACTCGTGATATGGAGTCGTTGATCGCGTTCCCACCGTGTCTCCACTTTTCTAACTTTGTAACTCTGTTTCCAATTTCAGATGTATGGCATGCCATGTCATGACATTGACGTTTTCGTAGGCATGTGGGAGATAAGATCGATGCTGAGGCGTGCTCATTTTCGTTGCCAGTTAGTATAAAAATGAAATTCGCAAATTATGAGGTACTGACCTTTCAAGTGCATTGAGTACAACGGGGCTAACGTTTTGGACCACGCCATTTGTTCCATTGATACCCTCATTTGTTTCCCATCCAAAGCGATCCAAAACATTCACTAACCGCTATAAGAAAACGCGCACAACTTTTATCGGACCTCATTAGGGGCACAGCCAGAGTCCTGGTACAGATGAGGAGGCGCAGCATTGACGAAGGGTTCGCCGTTTTTGGACTGCTCCCTCTATGCAACGTCATAGCCATGCCTAATATTAATCTGTTTGCAATCTCGAGCCGGTGCAGCTATGACCCCAAATGCATAGTATTAAGGTTACGCCCGTGAAGACTCAAATGCAGGTCACAAACGACAGACGGGCCTTTGCAAGTCATTCTAGCAAGAAATCAGTGTGCTGGCAGGTGCTACAGGCTTGAATGTATCGGTTTTCATCAGGGGCAACGGCATATTCTCCCATAAGGTTTTCATGATTTGTGTTCAGTCAATGCCTATAGGGACAACGTAATATTTTCAGAAAGTTTAAAAGTCAGCCCCCAGCTGTAACCTTCTCCAGCTCAACGTTCCCATGCCCCGGCCCTAAGGGACATTTTTTCTTATCTTATTTCTATCATAGGGGTGGCCTGCGCGAAAGACAGCAACAACATTAACTGGTAACATTTGGGAATGCCAAACAGTTCCTGCGCCATGACATTATGTTATTGTATGAGTGCTTTAAGAAAGTCAATTGAATGTTACTTCAATGTAACCAAATACTGTGACCATTTGAACAGGCAATGGAGGTCCACAAGGCACCTTACGTAACACTTCATCTGGAAGGCAAGTGAGAAGGCAAGGCAAGAGAAGGCAAGAGATTTGGCCATTAAAGGCCAAATTCC